AGTCCTAGATCAAATGGCCAAGTAGAGCGTGTCAATCGAACGTTGATTAACGGCTTAAATACTATGACCAATAGTGAATGCACTTGGGACGACCATGTCTCCGATATAATTTGGGGCATTAATAACACACCTCATGCCACAACTGGTTTCCCACCTTTCAAATTATTATTTGGCCATTCTAATTCGCGTTTACCAGCCTACCCCTGTGGGGAACCTGCAGACTTTGAAAGTCAAGCTCGAGCTTTAGAAGAGAGACGCGGCAAGGCTAAATTGCGTATTGATAAAAATATGACTCTTATGAAAGACCGATTCGACCGAACTCATAAGAAATGCGTCAAATATTCTGTAGGACAATTGGTACTATGGAAAGGAGGAATAACTAGGAAGAATGCTAATATTACTAGGAAGCTTAACGGTTTGTATACTGGACCGTATAAAGTATGCAAAGCTGACCACTCATTAGACCGATACACGATAAGCAGCATCAAGGGTATGAAGGGATACAGGAACTTTTCGGCAGTTGTACGCGGCGAAGTCCTCCGGCCTTATAATTCGTCTATCCCCGATGACAGTAGCGGTAGTGATCATGAAGTTGACAGGGATGATCTTATAGATCTGTTAGAAAGCTAATTGAATCTCTGGCTATATTAATATCAATATTATATAGAATAATAGTATGCAAGTGGATGTACAATAAAAGTATGCAATTAAATTATTAATATCCTGTGACAAATTATATTATGAGTTAATAAATGTTCCCTAATAAATATAGGAAGAAAAATGTCTGTTACCTTAGGTGTTTCGCTACAACTATTTTTGACTGTTATAAATTATTTTTACGATTGATAAAATATGTTTTGTGGTAATATATGTATAAAGAAAAACAGATTTTCGATAAATGCTACCTGATCTTATCTAATTAAAACTACTCTGATTTGCTACATTGTAGGATGTAACTCTATGTAAATGACAGCTGTGTGACTCTATATACATAAAATAGAAGAGACTCCAAAAAATAAAATCTGTGTAATTCTTTATAACCAAAGGCTGTGTGATCCTGTAAAAATAAAAAAAAAATAAAAGCTGTGTGACCCCATAATAAAAACTGTGTGACCTTATAACAAAAGCTGTGTGACCCTATAGTAAATAAAAGCTGTGTGATCCCATAATAAAAGCTGTGTGATCCTATATAAACAAAAGCTGTGTGATCTTGTACATATAAAAGCTGTGTGACCCCATAACAAAAGCTGTGTGAACTTGTAACAAAAGCTGTGTGACCCTAAAGTAAATAAAAGCTGTGTGATCTCATAGTAAAAGCTGAGTGATCCTAATCAAGGCTGTGTGATACTATAATAAAACTGTGTGATCCCATAATAAATGCTGTGTGACAACATATTAAAAACTGGGTACTCCTATACACTAATAAAGGCTGTGTGTAATATATTACAATCAAAATGAAATATGACAGATAAACAGAATTATTATGTATAAAGACATACAAATATATATTGCATGAACTCGCAACGACAAGCATACTGTTGGTACTATTCAAATTTCAGATGCCGTACTCCAGCGAGAAACCAGGACCTAGTGGCGTGACTGATCGCCGTGGGACACGACAAACGCAGGATGGCCGAGTGTTATCGTCTTCCGGTCCTGGGTTCACGAGCTCTTCGCATAATTAAGTTTATTTTAATCTCCCAGAGAATTACAAAACCTTTATTAGATTAATAACATAATTTTTATAATATTTAATAAATGATGATTAAATAATAACTGACGCCTTCCGCTTGTCAGCTTCCGGCGAACCTAAGATTAATGTTATTAAATGTGTATAAACAATTGTTATTAGTGTTTAGTCGTTGCTATATTGATTGACAGTTATTTTATAATTTATGATGCAATATTTATAGTAATAAGAATATTAATGTTCATTATTAGGTTAATATCTAAATTGTATAAAAGGCCGCTGTGACGGATAGATCAGTCAGTTGTTTTGTAACCGCCAGTAAGTAAAGGAGTGAAGAGTAACTCTGTCAGTTTGTGAAAGTGATTACAAAGTATATATATACCAAGTAAAAATATCGTTTATCTGCGGTTAGTCGTACCTAGTCTATCCGCCATCTACATAATATTTGTAAATATCAGACAATCAAGAACTTTAATTTGGAAAAAAGTAAGGTTTATGATTCATTAATATTTACAAATGTTATATTATTTAATGTTATACAAATGTAAAAGTAAAGTCGATTTGAAAACGTCTAATTAGTAAGAAGAGCAAAACAAGTGTTTTCAAAAGGAAACAAACGCCGGCGCTATACGGCGGCGGATTGACAAAAGACTATTTATTAGCTAACTTTTTTATGCATGAACGTTTTCAAACTGTTTCAAGCAAAAATAAACCTTATACCATATCAAAAGCACATGGTACTTCGTAGGTCTTTTTGGCTATATAATAGTAATAAGACGGCAGTTCAACCATTTTAAACAAAATTAAACAATAAGACAAACGCACGGCGGAATGGCGTGCCATCCGTACTGGACCGGTTAATACTGATACCCCATTTACACTCTCGCGCGAGCGACGAGGCGAGTCGCGAGGCGAGCCACGAGGCGCGAGTGTAAACGCTAGCTCGTGGCTCGCCTCGCAGCTCGCCTCGCCACTCGCGGCGCTCGCGTCGGAGGCGGTTTTTTGGGCACGAGGCAAAGGGCCTCGCGAGGGACGCGAGCGTGGTGTTTACACTCGCGTCTCGTTTCAGTTTGTTTACGGCGCCCTTCCATAATAACATTCGAATTGCTTTTGTTTTAAAATTACAATTTTATAAAATAATATTATTTAATCTTGCACAATAGGTACTAGCAATTTATATAAAATTATGAAACTGAAAAGCTTCTTTTTCGATAAATAATATCATCCGTCATATTCTTCCTCAACGACGTATTTTTATTAATTTCCTTCTTTTAAAATGGTCAAACATCGATAAATACTATTATTATTATTAAGGCAAGAGTTGAGAGTGTAAACAGGTACTCGTTACCTCGCAACAACACGCGAGCTGCGAGGCGAGGTACGAGGCGAGCCGCGAGGCGAGAGTCTAAACGAGGTATGAGATAAATGAAGACGGCTTAAAAGACAAGAATCCAAGCCAAAATATTAATAAAAAGCAATAATGAGAATGATCAAAGAGAATATAATCACTATATATATATATATTTATACGTGCGGTAAGAATGATAATCTATGATGTTTATATAGGTATATAAATTGCCCTATATTAGGGATGGGCAAGTGAAAAAATATATTGATATATATCGAATCAATATTTTTAAACATTACCGATATATATATCGCGTGATAAATATCGATATATCGTCATTTGCATGATGAAACAGAAACTTTTTTATTTCATATAGATTATAAATAATACTTATTGAAAGTCACTCTTTTCTTTAATTACCACTGGTTCGGAAAAAACCTCTGTCCTGGGAAGTACCAGCAAGAAACCCAGCGAGACTTTTTTTTTAAATAACAGCTTACAATCATTATGTTACACAAATTAACAACACAACAAAATAGAAATAGCTTGCTAGCGATTACCTCATTTCCAGGGGTTATTATCATCCATAAATTCCTTAATATTATAATAACCCTTTTTATACAAACTTAGTTTAATAAAGTTTTTAAACTTAGAGCAGGTCAAACTTTGTATATTTTCTGGAATTTTGTTGTAAAAGCGTATACATCGCCCCAAGAATGAATTACTGACTCGATGGAGTCGAGTAACTGGTACTACTAGCTTGTGTCTGTTCCTAGTATTTACAGAATGAATATCACTTATTTTTGTAAATCTACTTTTATTTTTGTGTACGTACATTACATTTTCATAAATGTATTGAGAGGTCAAAGTTAATATATTAATTTCCTTAAGTTTTTGTCGGAGCAACTCTATAGGCTTTAAATCATAAATTGCTCTTGTGGCCCTCTTCTGTAAAACAGATATAATTTCAGTGTCAGGAGAAGAATTCAGTGACTTAGTGGTTAATATCGGAATATCAGTAAAATATTTCTCAAAAACCATTGCAACGTCTTGATCTGATTCAGTTTTATTTGTTGTTAACGACTTTTGGGCTTTATCCTTACGTCCTTAAATGTAAGGATAAAGCCCAAAATTTTGTATTACAGACTGTTGGACGAGGAAAAAAAACCACAACCACACATGAATGCTTTTGTAGCACCTTTTGTTGTTTCATGTTTTGTACATTAATACAACATTTTAAATTATATCGAAATTGATATGAATTCGATACTCTAAAATAAATATCGATATATCGCGATTAAAAATATCGACGATATGTATAAATATTTTTATGTGAATATAGCGATATTTCGATATTTTTTGCCCAAGGCTATCGTACACGTACAGTTACCATACTCTTTGGCTATCGTATATAGTATATTATCTAAGATGGAGTTTTGGCGGGAACTTGAACGGCGGCGGTTTGCTGCTCCTGTTTTATTGTTTTAATAATGGTTTGAAGTGGACTTTGATATGTAAAAGTGGTGCGTTTTTGTGTATTAAGTATCTGCGCATGTGAACTATTATTGGAAACTGTGAAACAAGTGCTCTAATAGTGATGTGATTCTCAAAATAAGGTGCCTGTCTGCTTAGGCGCCTTGAGATACCATCGCCAACCGTCAGCTGTCTGCTGGCTCAAGTTACCGTCAAAATCTCCCAAGGGCTGCACAATGTGACGCATCAACATATTGTGAAGCACTATACTATGAAGAATAATTATTTTAATATAATATTGTAACTTCAGGCTCAGAAGGGCTAGATCCCAGAGCCGTAAAGCCAGTTATCAAGAAGAAGAAGTATATTATCTAAGAACTATGATATAAAAATAAATAAATAAATTACAATTGTTGAGTACGTTATTATAGTTATACTTTATCACAAACTAACTAGAAACACTCACGCCTACTATAATCCTCTTTAATCATGTACCAAGGAAATTTAAGATTGAACAAATTTAGAAGATTGATCGTATCTATTGCACATTATTCATCAAAACCAACCTCTTCCGAAGTCCTAACAGCCTACCTTGTGCAATGTAAAGAACCACCTTGGACTTCATATTTCGTAAAGGTCTAACAACTATTTAAATTACATAAAACAATTACTAAGTTGATTTTTCAGTAGCCAAATATTTTTGCTTTCAGTACAGTAGTGTAAAAGACGATCAATTTGGAATGTCAAACTTTAATTGGAAGGTTGGAAAATCGAACTATCAGATTTTACGAACAGGTTGTTTTCCGTATATAAAATACCATTGTTCTAAAAAGGAAGCAGAGGATTTAAAATCAAGCGACAAATTTATGCGAATCATCAAAATTGCTAATTTGGGTAAGAAGTTATGCCAAGTACCTAGGTATTGCTTTTTTTGCATGGAGAAATGGTTACAATAGGTAGGTCAGGTATGTGAAATGTTGATAGTAATATCCTCTAAGTCAAATTTTGGTCATGGTGGCCAAAGTGGTTATAGTGCTCGAGTGTATGTATATATATGGTAGTGTGGGTATATCAATACCTACTGATTGAAGTCAAATACCCACGGGAGAAGGATTCCCTCCCACTATCCTTCCCCCTTGCGGCTTTACAAAAACACTAGTGTAGACAGGGTAGTGTAGACAAGACTGTGGAGTTGGATGTTCTGATTTGGTTTTAGTAATGATTCGACCTATCTTATCTATAAAGTCTGGTTGCCCTAAACTCTGCTATGATAATGGTAAATGAAACAATGCAATTTTTTGTTTTAATTATTTAATTTACTATATATACATGCTTTATTGCTCGCATAATTTCTTTTAATGGATCCTTTTTTATTTTTCTTCATTTCAGCTCACTACTATCATGTTTGCAAAATTTTGTGAACTATTATAATTTTGTTTTTAAAAAAACCTCGGACTGCTCTCCACTGTGACTTAATTTGTTGTGCATGAGTCTCATCTTCAGCCACAAATGGATTGTCTGGGCCTGAGTGATTACTTTTTTATGGCTGTTGTGGTAATAGCCACCACATGTTTCTGTATAAGCAGCACCAGCACCACAGTACACCTAGTTTGAGATCCTCAGACCCATCTATCATACTGAGCACCCAGTGGCCTTCAATGTTCAAAAAATAAAGGTGAAACACAATAATACTTATATTTGCCTTTATTGTATTGGCATTTTCCAAATTTGATCTCATCAATTTGTACAATTTTACTTGGGCCACCAATCTTTCCAGAAAACTGATTTTATTTCTCAAGGTAGTATATGACAACAACTTCTCTACACTCTACAGTAATTGTACCAATTACATATTGTGGTTGGGCTTTAGCATTGTTGTTTCTGTCGCTAGTACGGTTCTTCATGAATTGTTTGATTATAAGACCATCATTGTGAATATTCATAGATTGGGTAGTATAAATGTGGATCAAATCAAGAGTTACATTTTCCAAAAAGTCCCTTGTCATTGTGAGATTTTAACTCCACTGTCTCTAGCTTTGTTCTTCCAAGATGCTCTAGCACATATGAAGGTTCCAAATGATTTGCAGCCATTTGAGTATGATATTTTCATGTAAGTTTTCAAGGCGAGCCCTGCCATGCTATCCGTGAATTTCTGCAAGATCAGGGGACTTCACTCTAACCTAAACGCCTTCCACTACCATCTCGAGACGGCGAAGCCGGCCTTGCTCTTTCTGACCCAGACGCAGGTTTCCTCTCCGGCTGATATTTCGTATCTCTCCTACCCGGGGTACAAATTGGAGCACTCCTTTGTGCCTCGGGCTGGAGTTTGCGTGTATGTCAGAGAGGACATCTGTTCTCGACGCCTCGGCAGTCTTGAAGGTTCGGACCTGTCCATCCTATGGCTACGCGTAGATAGCGACGACCATCCGCGCGTCTACTGGTGCCTCTATAGGTCCCATAGCGGTAATGCCGAAACAGACCGACTCATCGACCACGTCCAAATGGCTACAGATTCCTTGCTACAACAGGTCCCATCCGCAGAGATCGTGATCCTTGGCGATTTTAACGCCCACCATGCCGAATGGCTCGGTTCACGTTTAACCGATCATGCGGGGAGATCTGTTTATGACTTTGCCTTGGCATATGGTCTGACACAACTGGTTACTTCGCCTACGCGGATTCCAGATGTGGAGGATCATACACCTTCCCTGTTGGACCTGTTGCTGATCTCTCATCCGGACGGATATCAGGTTTCCGTCGATGCCCCTCTCGGCTTTTCGGACCATTGTCTGATCCGGAGTATGGTGCCACTCACGTTCCCTTCGCGGTTGCGTTCTGCAGGTTGCCGCCGTACTTGGCATTACAGGTCGGCGGATTGGGACGGAATGCGGTCTTTCTTTGCATCCTACCCATGGGGACGGGTTTGCTTCTCGCCGGATGATCCCAGCGCTGTTGCTGACTCTGTCACTGATGTGGTGCTACAGGGTATGGAACTATTTATTACATCATCTGTGGTACCCATCGGAGGCAGATCTCAGCCTTGGTTTGGTCGCTACTGTAAGACTGCATTACGCAGTAAGCAGGAGTGTTATCAAGCCTGGGCTGCGGCTTCGGCGACTCGGGATGTAAACACCATCACACTTAAAAAGAAGTATAACTTCGCCTCCAGGTCCTTCAAAATAGTTATTGCCAAGGCAAAATCAGAGCACATAGGCAGAATTGGCGAGAAACTAGTTCGCCTTCCTTCGGGAACCCGTGCATTCTGGTCTCTCGCCAAGGCTGTCCAAAGGAATTTCTGTAAGCCATCACTACCATCTCTGCACAGGGAGGACGACTCACTGGCCTAAGACGCAAAAGACAAAGCTGACCTTTTAGGCTCCCTTTTTGCGTCCAACTCGACTCTTGATGACAGGGGGAAAACACCGCCGACCATCCCGCGGTGTGAGTGCTCCATGCCGGATGTGCTGTTCTTACAGCGCTCGGTTCGCAAAGCACTTCTCTCCCTGGACATCTAGAAGTCGAGTGGGCCTGACGGGATGCCCCCAATTGTGCTGAGGACGTGTGCTCCGGAGTTGGCACCGGTCCTAACGCGTCTTTTCCGGTACTCCTACTTCCAAGGCGTAGTCCCGAATTCATGGAAGACAGCTTTTGTCCACCCGATTCCTAAAAAAGGCGACCGCTCAGACCCGTCCAACTATAGGCCTATCGCGATCACCTCCTTGTTCTCCAAAATAATGGAATCCATTATTAACTGCCAGCTCATCCGGCACCTTGAGGATCACCAGCTGGTTAGTGACCGCTAATACGGTTTTCGTCCGGGTCGATCAGCTGGTGATCTTCTGGTCTACCTGACCCATAGATGGGCGGAGGCAGTAGAGTCCAAGGGGAAGGCGTTGGCCGTTAGTCTGGACATTGCGAAGGCCTTCGATCGGGTTTGGCACAAAGCGCTTCTTTCGAAGCTCCCTTCCTATGGGCTTCCCGAGAAATTGTGCAATTGGATCACCAGCTTCCTTGCAGATCAGAGCATCAAGGTCATTGTAGACGGTGCATGTTCTGACTACAAGCCTATTAACGCTGGTGTTCCACAAGGCTGTGTGCTATCACCAACGCTGTTTCTTCTGCATATCAATGATATGTTGCTAACTGGTAACATTCATTGCTATACGGATGACAGCACTGGTGATGCTCTATACACCGGCCGCATTCTATATATTATATAATATTATAAGGCTAATATTTCTCGGGAAAACGTCGCCGAGTCGAAGTCGAGTCTTTGCTGAACAAAGTCTCGGATTGGGAGCGACTAAATCTAGTCCAGTTGAATCCTCAGAAGACACAAGTTTGCGCGTTTACCGCTAAAAAGAACCCCTTTGTCGTATCTCCTCAGTTTAAAGGCACTCCCCTTCTTGCCTCAGCCAGTATCGGTATCCTTGGAGTCGACATATCGAGTGACGTGCAGTTTCGTGGTCACTTGGAAGAGAAGGCCAAATTGCCCTCTAAAAAGCTTGGCGTGCTCAGCAGAGCGGGACAGTATTTCATGCCGGCACACCGCCTGCAACTTTACAAGCTGCAGGTTCGGCCCCACATGGAATACTGTTCCCATCTCTGGGCTGGGGCTCCCCAGTGCCAGCTCCTTCCACTTGACCGCATCCAGCGCAGAGCGGCTCGAATCGTCGACGACTGAGTCCTTTCCGATCGGCTCGATTCATTGGCACTGCGAAGAGATGTTTCATCCCTTGGCATTTTCTTTCGCATCTATCATGGGGAGTGCTCTGAGAAATTGTTCGGATTAATCCCAGCCGCCAAATTTCACGAACGCACATCGCGGCAGAACTCCTGATACTATCCACACCATCTGGATGATTGGCGGTCCACCACTGTGCGATTTAGAAGATGTTTTCTTCCTCGCACGACTGCCTTGTGGAATCGATTACCATCAGCGATTTTTCCGGACTGATACGACTTAGGGACCTTCAAGAAAAGAGCGTACTCCTTTTTAAAAGGCCGGCAACGCATCTGCAATTCCCTCCCTGGTGTCGCAGTTGTTCATGGGCGGCGGTAGTCACTTACCATCAGGTGAGCCGCATGCTCGTTTGACCTCTCTCCTATAAAAAAAAAGTTTTGTGTTTGCTGCACCTTCGTTCTTTTAGGACCAGCCTTTCATCCTCACTATATCGAATACATTGCTGGTTCGTTCTAAGTTCGCGCACAATATCCGACAGATTCCACATGAATAGAATCTCAGACACGTAAAGCCGACGCTTTACATAATCGCCGCCGTCAGAGTAGTCTTGGTCGATGTGTGATAGTGCCTCGAGTAAAGTGTCGGGCGCCGCTACGGATTCGTAATCGCTCATTCTTAGGTCCAATAAGCAAGCCAAAATTCGAAGTAACGGAATCCAATCAAATTCATAGCCAAAGCCAAGGTCAAAGGTAAGGGCAATCAAAAAAGTCCAAAAATAGAGCAGAAGTCGTCGAAAAACTTGGGGAAGCACAGCACGAAGCACAAGAGAGAACATTTGTGTAATCACTAGAGAAACGGAATGATGATTGACATTTTATATCGGTTTTTGACATCTGACATAATACTAGACCAAATTGTTAAATATAACAATTTCGTTATACATAAATAACAGTACCCCACGGTTTCACCCGCGTAAATCACGCTTCTGAGCCGCGAGACATGACACCTCGCTTAAGGCCGTTCGCGCAGTAGGCAGCCTGTCTGCGCTGCCAGGCTGCGGCGGCCGAAATGTTTGAGCAGCCACTTCTAAACAGCCAATAGACAGCCAGTTGTGACCCTTTCTTCGAGGGATATGAACGTGGAAGAACTTCTGGAATTTTGTGCGTATTTCGTAAAAAACGCAAAGCTAAAAGACATTGGATTCATACTT